ATAGCAGCTTCGTATCCGCAGGGCACCTCTGATAAAGCTAGCAAAATTATCATCCTGGAAAAAAGACAGAGCGGCCCGGACAAGCAGAGACTCTGCGTAGCACAATTCGGCATGCAGCTCTTCTGTAGTGAACTTATTTGTCATTAATTTATGATTCTTTCCACGAACGTCTGTGTTTGCAGATGAAAAGTCTTATTCAAGAAGGAAACAAGGAAGTTAAACAATACAAAAAAAAACAGAATCAAACAAATAAAGTCATACCGTCGGTAATTGTCCTTGAAGTTTTCCCTCCTAGGCTGAGAAATGTGTCGCTAAACGAAAATTTCTGACGGAAGCGTTCTATAACAGCACAGGCATCCTTGCAGACCTGCATCGACCTTTCAAGATCTGCCTAAAATCGCGTGAGCAGTATCAGATCACATTCATTGTTGCCTTTTTCCAAGTTATGTAAAAGTTTAAAAATTCGAAGAAAAAAACCTTTTTTAATTCTCATCGGCTTACCTTATCACAAGTCATCATTGCCTTGATAAATACGATGCTGTTGTAACCAAGTGCGTGGTACATGCTTTTGTCAGCTCTAAACGTAGATCAGAAGTTGCACTTAAGGTTTCAAGATTTGCGGTGTAGACAGAGCAAAAGGTAGGATACAAATCAAGGCTTAGGTCGATCTCAAGAAGATGACACATCAGAAAAGCAAAAAAGGAAGAAAAACGTGATTTGAGGAATAAAAGTGATGAGATGGAACCTACAATTGTGCCATCCTTTCCTCGGCAAGGGCGAATTTGTTGTTGAGAAACAAATTCAGTGTGATTTGGGTCTCGGAAATGGTATCCAGCAGATCCAATGAGTCACTGCTGAAAGAGAAAGACGTAGAAATCAATACATCCATCAGTTTTGTTCAATCATTTTTTGACGGATAGAAAGCGAACGGATTTTCGTCCACAAAAGCAAGGCATCATGTTACCATGCAAATAATAAGTATACTTTTCCTTCGAATTCATAGATTTCATTTTTTGAATCAAAGCATTATTTTTGGGAAAATTAACAGCAGTGTAAAATCCAATCATTCCACTCTCTCAGCTTTCTCATCTTATCCTCTAGATAGGGATGACCCATTCTGTACGTTCAGTTTTAGATGATGATCTTGCTATGTGTTATGGCTTAAAGGATCATCAGCGAGTTTACAACTTATTTTTTTACACTTTCTTCTTGGTATGACTAAACTGTATCAGGCAATTGATTTATCGCGTGATTTCTTATCTTGACCTTTCGCTTTCCTACGAGCTACCGAAATGCAATTTACGCCAGCTTCTTGGGGAGTTAATTTTGAAATCAAAGATTAGAAATCAGTATTTCCTCTTGAATCTATCTATAAGCCATTCGCGCAAAAAAAAGGTT